TAATGAGATTACATGTCTCATTATTTTTGTAATTTTGAGTTGTGCTTTTTTTAGATATGGCCCAGAAGTTGCTGCAGCTGTGGCCAACGACCCAAGTGCCATGCAGCGTCTCCAAGAGCAAGCTCATCACCAGCACCACCACTCAGGAGGAGCTGGAGGAAAGCTTCCACCATCTGCCTCTTCTAGCACAGGAATGCTCCATGGATCAGCCAACACCAGTTCTTCCCGCCTCTCTACTTTACCCCAGGTAGAAAAAATGGCCAGCGCTTTTTCTGAAGCAATGGGAAGCAAAAGCAATTATATGGATGTTAGGACAACAGGAGTGATGGTGGAAGGTAGAGATGGAGTAGTGACTACTGCAGGACTCGGAGTAGGAGGTGAAGTAGTTGTTGATATGCGAGGTGGAGCTGAAAATGGGACAGAGGCTGGGGAGGATTCGGATGATGACGGCCATGGCTCAGCATCAGAGATCTCCACAATTGCCAAGGAGGTCGACAAGGTGAACCAGATCATCAACAATTGCATTGATGCTCTTAAGATGGATGCTTCATCTAACGTTGGGCCCACATCTGACAGTGGCAACTCTGTGTCCTCCTCCCAACCACCTTGCATGACATCTATTCCTCGCAGCCTACTGCCCCTGTCTCCTGGCCACCCTGGTGACCAAATCATGGCTTCTTCTCCAAAAGTGCATCCAAAATCTCAGGCACACCCTCAACCTCATCCTCAACCACAACCTCAGTCCCATCCTCAGCCTCACCCACAGCTACATCAGCAGCCTCATCCTCCATCAATGGCCCCAGTGCCCTTGGTCATGCCCCTGTCTGAGCGGCCTGGCATCAGTGGAGGTGGGTTTCTCACACCCCCTTACCGTGACCCACCCCCAGCTAATGCAGTGCGGCCCCTTCAGAGGCAGCTGAGTGCTGACACTGCTGTGAAAAACCGCTGTGGTAYTCCTGCTGCAGGACCTGTCAAGAATTCAAAGGTGTACAGCATGGATGTCCCTGAGCAACGCAATGATCCACCCAAGTACCCAACAGAAAAGAGCAGTCCTGCTGGTTGTGGTGGTGGAGGTGGAAGTGGAGGCACTGGTGGAGCAGGAGGCTGCAGTGGGAATGTGAAGGGAAACCTAAATGGTGGTGGAGTAAGTTTGAATGGGGGTGGAATGGGGTGTAATAATGGAAATGGTGGTTGTGGGGTGGTTGGCCTAGGACAGCAGCAGCATCACCTAGAGGTTCAACCAGACTACCACAGYTCAGAGCACAGGCACTCCTTTCCTGCACTCTACTATGAGGGTGTAAATGACTTGCCTTCACCAGCTCAAAAGGCCTCATTCCTCAAACCACTTGGGCGCAGCAAGAGGGATGCCACAGTCACCTATTCCCAGCTCTCTCCTTCTCGTCACCACAGCTACAACTCTGGCTACTCCTCCAGTCCGGAGTACTCTTCTGAGAGCACACTGCGCATCTGGGAGAGATTCCGACCATACAAGAAAAATCCCCGTGAGGAAGCATCTTATATAGCAGCAGGCCATGCATTGCGTAAGAAGGTGCAGTTTGCCAAGGATGAGGATCTTCATGATATTTTGGACTACTGGAAAGGTATTTCTGCCCAGCAAAAGTTGTAAGCTGGAAAATCAAAACTTAATGCCATTTAGACGATTGTGGGATAAACACCAATGCCAGACTAGTGACGAGGATAGGTACTGTTGTCCAAAACAGATAATGAAGTTTCTGAAGTGGTGTCTAGTGACATGGATCATTCCGGCAATGGCTCCAGTGGTAATGTGACGTTCTGTCTTGATGAATAGTTAGAAAATGATTCACTGAAAATCCATTGACATTGTACATGCTTGTTCTTGATGTTCTTTTGTTATGATAACATCATTCAACCCTTTTTCATGACTAGCTTCATATTGGGCACTTTGGTTCTCACAGCTCCATATGCTTCTTGAATTCCTCCTAATTACAGAGTTAAGGTGATGACAAGTGTCTTCTACCTYATTACTGAAACATTGTAGCTCAACTGTCTCAGTAGAAACAGCACTAATAATGACTTAAGACCCRTCCATCTTTTTTTACTAATTCCATCAAATCACCATTTTGAAAACAATAATTCAAATTCACCGTTTCCACCTACTCTGATAAAGAGGTACCATTTAGGGTGATAATGAGGAAGCAGGATGAAGATTTATTTGCATTTGTTTTAGAATGTCCGTCATTGGAGACAGCATTAAATGATACTTATCAGGTTAATTGTTCTCCCTGGCAATTAGCCAATGTAAGAGAAGGTCAGGGACACCATTTGTTGTGCATGATTATTGATGTGAAACACTCAACTGCATATGTTTAGTAGTGTGTGCATATACAGATTGTGCATGCTASTGTGAATGATTACATGTGGGTGGGAGAGTGGAGTTGTGGCTGAGTCATTCATTATCCCCAGGCTTTGCTATAAGGCCAGAGAGTATAGCTAATAGATATGGTAGGTAATAATCCAGTTGGGGATGTGTGTTTGCGTGTGGATATGTGTGAATGAATGAAGGATTTGCTCATACCACCTATCTAGATGCCATGAAGTAAATATTTTCAAAACCTTCAGGCATTTTTGACCCGTAGCTTATTTCCTATTTACAGGTGTAGCATATTTCTTCTGATAAGAAAAGTTATGAATTCAAAAATTTACATTTCAATAATGTGAGTCATGCAGAAATTACTTTTAAGATGGGTTATGCAGGCTAGAAAAGCAGTTGTAAGCTGCTATACTAAAGAACCTAGTAATCATATTTAGGAGCAGAGCCAGTCTGAAAGCAGGTTAGAGGTTTCCTGTAAACTTGCCAGTGTTAAGGAGACGAGACAAGGTTCAGTGGATTTTTGGCTGTAGATGTAYCAGCTCAAGGCAATGTTCTCTGCACTGCACAGTGAGACAGAGTGAATGGTACGAAAAGTGAAGTATCTAGGGATACATTCKGCCTCAAACTTTATGACTCAGCACTCACTCTTTATATGACCCTGTTCTGGTCTGGGGGAAGGCTCGTAACTTGCTATGGACCAAAGTGCCCTTGGGAGCTGATTTAGGCAATGTTTGTTATGTAAGCACTTGTTTTCCTCTGTGGTTAATATCTGGTTGTTAGATAAACAAAGCACCAATTATTATAATACCTATTATTTTTATTATTATTATGTTCTGCTGTTTGTGTTGCTGTTATTGCTTGAAAAAAAGGAGCAAGGCTTGGTTACTGTTGTGAACCAATGAAGAAAGAACTTTGACATTGCAGAGGTTTCTGGGAAAAAATATAATATATTCATAATTAAATAATTCCAGTTTATCTATATTTATTGAATCCACAGACACTTAATCTATACAAATACTATTCCATCAGGAACATCAAATACACATACAGTATAACAAATCAAATATAAATTGTATATGATCATTGTTTTAGTACTGAGGTCCTGCTTTAGTGAAAATAATTAGATTTGCAAATTACTTCAATTATTTTTGTGATCTTTTTCCTTAATTACTACCTCAATCCAACTTAAAGTAAATTACTGACAGCACGCAAAGGTTGAAGTTGTTCAATTGTTTGTTTGAGGTTAAACTGACATGGTGATATGAATAATTTCAACAGACTGGGAGCCCTAACTGTAAWTAATATCAGCAATATTTGTTTTTTAACCTTACCTTCTTTGTCAGATGCTAATTCATTTTCCATTATGTCACTTTTATATTTTGTTTCTTTTTGTCTGYATTAGGGAGGCAGAAATAATCTTCAGATAAAGTATTGAAAAACTGAGAGAATTACCATCACTGTATTACTTCATTTGAGCTTGAGTATGAGGGAGTTTATWTGACTAGAATATTGAGTCAATCTAACCCATTGGTACCCATTTAGACACACACCATTTTAAAGTTTGAGTTTCATGAAGAAAACTATTCAAAAAGTATTATGTATTCACTACTTTTGTTATTGTRTYTGATTAAAATTTAARATGAAGCCTYRTTCATAAGACGGCTCAGTCWGGGACTGACGCATGTTCTGTTTTCCTTCGAGCATTTAGAAAAAACATGAAGGCAGAAAGGYGMGTAAAATGAGCCTGCATGTCTCTGATGCCCCTCTGAGYCTCCAAGCAAGGTAGTATCAAAGCCAGGCCCAAGACRGTTTGACTGACTTGTGAAAAAGCAACCCACRGTTCCACACTTAGAAAATGAYAATAAACTGATGACATCAGTGAGTGACCACAGGATTAATCTAAAAACAGATTTATTRCTGAGGGAATATKAAATATGACATAAAACAACATCGTGGAAACCATTTYCAAGAAAAAGTCAATGCACAATCCCCAAGGGAATATAAWAACAAACCTGTGTGTGTGACTTTGATACAATCGAGACATACGTCAGCTYGAGCGACTGCAGGATTAATTAACAGATTTATTACCGAGGGAATAATTAAGATGACACAGAACAGCAACATTGTGGTTAGTTTAAAGAACATTGAACCATAGGATTGCTAAAGTAAGTTTATTTTGTTTGTTTTGATTGATACGAGACGTCTGTCACACAATAAATACCTAGCGGTCCACTTCAGCCCAGCTGAGATCTGATCCATGCCTCTTTTTTCTGCTCCACACCCTTTTTTTTTCTGCACTGCTGGGTTCATTTCTGAACACATACATGTGAACGGGACCTGTCTGACTTCTCCTGTGATTTTATGAATGACCTGAGGGAGTTTAAAGTCAGACTGGTCTGTGCAGCGATTTYGCAGAACTGTCTTGTGAAAGAGGCTTGTAATGAAATTTATTGCAGTTAAGGAAATTGTGGGTGATCAGTAAAAATTCTTTAGTTTTATATGATTTTAACTTATTTATATACAGTATTTTTCAAGCAAAACACAGTTCTTGCCAAAATCTGTTGTAGTCCATCACCCCTTGTAACCACAAGAGATTGGATTGTGTGTTTTTTTTTAGTGCAGTGGACTCAGTGAACTGCTGGCAGAATCAAAACATGAACACTAAAAAACTCACTGAGAAGATTTACTTCTTTTGAGTTATGTAAACCATAATTTATGTTCAGAAGAAAACAAGAAATTTTGATTCTGAATTTATTCTCTCCTTTATTTTGTATATTCTATTATTTTTMTGTTGAATTAATTCTTTATTTAATAATGTCATTTTCAGCAGGGCCAACAGATCTGTTAGCATTCACAACACAATTAATGCACATTACTTTGGTATCAGATCAATATAACTTGATTTGGAAGTGAGTGGAAGACCATTAAAAACACAGGAAATTCCCCTAGGCACTGAGCTGGATAGTTAAATTTTTTAAATAGACTTTTGTTTTATTTTTTGGCCTTTTATTCAAATTCCACAGGTAGATTTCTGCTCATTAAGTCAGAGGAATCACCAATCAATTAGTTTTAGAGTAATACCACAGGCTATCCAGGGTTGGAAGCTTTTTAAAAATAATGACTTCATTTGGAAAAATGGAAGCACTCAAACTGAGGTTACCTGCATAGAGCCCAAAGGCTTTTCGAAAGAAGTAAGGAATAACATTATCTCAGTTATTCATCAGCCCAGCATGTCCTCTTGCAAAGAACATTGGTCCTTCATGTCTAATAGTCTGGTTATCTTTACTGTTTTTGCTCTGAGCTCTGAAATTTAACAGTTTATCAAATCAACAAATCACAATCAAACTTGCTTCATAAGAAGCATTGTTTAGTAAGACAGTATTTTTGCAATACATTAAGTTAGTCAAGCCTTGCTCCTTCATTGCCTTCACTGACATTGTATCAAGGTAACAGCAAAGTTTTTTTTTTATCTCACTTCCTAACAATGTCTGCCTTTAGTCCCAAAGGACCAGAATCCAGAAGACGACAGCCACAAATGTACAGAATCTGTACCTTTGGGATTACCAGTGTGCCATCTCTCTAGTCTTTCTAATTAACTACAGTGATGAATCAGTACAAAGAATACCACTGTCAATCTAAGGCCTCTAGAGTTTTCAAAAAGTAGAAGTACACAAGTGAAATGTTTGAACTTCTGGTGGTCTACAAAGAAATGAGTCAGTCTGTACAGAGAGGTGAATCTTTGAAGTAAAATGGAAAGTGATCTGGTTTCCACTGTGATTATAGACACCTTGGAGGAAACAGATTGGGTGAAAAGTCAAGAAACTTTTTTTTTTTTTTGCATTCTATTGAATAGTATGAAAAAAATGAAACCATTTCATGGAAGTACTTCAGTGTTTTAAACAGTTCTTTTGACTGCCTCTGGGACTCTGCTATACAAGTTTACTGTTGATTTCATTGTTTCCCTCTTTTTAACTTCAGGCTTATTGAAAAACACAAATCAATAGACGTAGAAAATTGTGAAACAGCCCTCCTGATTACCTCCCTTTAGAGTAGTATTTGCTCTCAAAATGGAACTCCATCAAAGAAACTGAAGACTTGCAATGGCTCCCTCATGGCAGCAAGTTCTGTTTGGCCTTAAGTTAATTAAACTTCTGAATTTGTGCTATGAGAACTGCAGCGAAAACATTGCATTTTTATGTTGTAAACATTAGAACAGTAAAGGGATAGCCTCGAACACAAGCATACCCTGAGGCATTCCTTTTTCCCACCACCCTAAGCTTGTTTAATGTCAACAAATGGATCCCAGGAAACTATGCGGCAAATAAAAAGTTCATCGCTGCTATTGGTGGTGCGAAATGAATACAGAACAACTGGCTAAAGTCTTCTAATACAACAAATTTTCCAAAACATTATCAGAATTAAACATAACACATGCCACATGCAAACCTTGTGCATTTTACTATACATGATTATTATATACAGTATTTATATTGTAAACATGTAAATTATTATTTATTTTCTTTCGTTTTTTACATCACAGACATTTCAGCGATTACAGTTTGGTGCAATTTAAAAGTGAATATTTTTGCTTTTAAGTGTTCAAATGATTTGACAGTCCTGCTTCTTAGTAAAGAGCTAAAGTGTGCCAGGTCATCTTTTCCCTTCTCACATAAACACATTTTTAATGTAAATGTTTAATTCATCTGGTTTTCAAATACTTTACATGACATATGGTATTTTACATGAAACTCTAATAAAATAATAATAATATTAAATAATGATAATTATAT